GTGGCTCATAAGCAGCACTGAAAGTTCTATAATATACATTTATAATATATAATATTTCAGTATATATAGTATTTAATAAGAGTAAGTTATTATAATTATACTACAATATATATTCTGAGATTAAAATATGAGAATATCAGTAATTTGAAAGACTTCATAAATCATTTACAGATCCTGGGTGAGTATGGACAGAGAACCTCTTTATTTCTGAATCATTTGACAGCGACATTTGACTTTAGGACACTTTTGTAACAAAAGTGAATTGAATTAGGAATCGCTAAACATTTTAGTGCAGGTACTGAGTTATATCAGTCCCCCAGCATGGAATTTGCTCCTGTTGGAACTTGGTCTTGTTGGGATTTATAATGAGATGTGATGTGAAATGTGTTTCCTTGGTCAAGGATATACTTAATTACAGACCATTGCTGGGTTATTTAGAGTTCAAATTATACTGGAAAGGGGCTGTTTATATTGTTTATCATGAGCAGCAGATTTACTATCTGTCTCTATTTAGCCTATATAATGTGTCTAAATACCAAGGTGACAGACACACAGCATCTCATTACATAAATATATTGAATTAATTAAAATTAAAGGTTTAGCGGATCTTGTAACACACTAGATACAGATTTGCTTATAAAGTTTGACAAAAGTGCCATATGATCGTTCATTACCACTCTAATTAATGAAAAATAGATCCAGTAATATGCAACAGCTGCTGCTATCACTTAATGCTCTGAAAAGAGGTTTGCCAGCCATGAAGTTCAAGAGCCTGATTACAGATAATGGACTTAAGCTTCCTGTTGGGAATTTGTTCATTCTGCAGCCTCAACAGAATTTGAACTTGTGACATTTCCATCATGCTGTAGCTTGACTAGAGGTAAAATAGAAGCAGCTGTGGGGAAACTGCTAATGGACTAACTGAAATACATGAAATCTTTCACTGGGCTGGACCACCAGGAAATGTAGTTGCACTGAAAAAATGTTATATTACTAGAAGTGGGCTCAAATTTAAGTTGAAAAAATTCTGAAATCGGAGTTTCAAACCCCAATTTAAATCTATAAGTCGCATAAAGTTTAGGCACTAAAATTCACTGCTTCCAGCATTCAAAGAGAAGTGTGCTCATCTGCTCTTGCCTTTGCTGGGCTTCCTCACATCCTAAAGTCTCCTACAGAGTCAGTGGAGAGAAAGAAGTTCCTCTGAAGGCCTAGCAGACTTCAGACATGCATGTGAGACTGGCAGGATCTTACTCTTCTGACCCACAGCTTGTTATTTATTATTCCTCATTATTTTTATTACGTGCCACTGCATGGGAGCCACCCTCACAGCCTGAGATTTCCTTGTGACGGTAAAACCTCTCATATGCACAGGACAGTGACCAGAAGTTTAATTTTGTCAGGTCATATGCAACCATCTAGGAGCCCATTGCCAGAGAAAGGACAATGTATTCTTAATTTATTTCAGTGTCCCTGAATAGTTTGACAGGGAGGGGACGCCATACTTTCTTCCTTATTATCAGACATGTCCTCTTTTATTTTGAGGATCTTCACAGAGCACAGCTTCTCCCAAGGCACAGGCACAACACAGGGTTCCCTCTGAGCATTGGTGTCTCTGGCCCCCAGAAACAGCAGTTAGGATCCATGCGGTGCCTGGGTTGCTGCTCTTCTGCACAGTATAACACAGCAACATTGCTCTGCAGTGCTAACAGCCAAGCTTCAAACTGATATGCCTGGGAAGTTTAGGATTTGCAGAAGTAAGTACATCTTTAAGTACATTAAGTACATGGGAGGGTATGTTGGTATGCCCTTTACATTACATACACAAGCTCATATACAAGCAGAGAAAATGAGGGATGGAAGGTAACTCTTGGCATGGAACAAAATATAAAACTACAATATTCTCATTTTTACAGAACTAAACAAGGGTACAAAACTGTCAAATAATTTTATAGATATCATTACTAAACTGGTAGCATACAGCAATGCTTGATGAACTAATTTGTCAGGGTAGTGACATTGTAGACACACTAATGTAAGCACAGTGATTTTGTCCCGAATAAAATTTTTCTGGTTATTAGGGAAAAAATAAAGGCTGTGTGAATGTGACGCTTCAGGCAATCCTCAAATTTATTATTACTAGCTCTTAAGCCATTCCCCTATGTGATTTGTGTTTGATCACAAAAATAAACAGAGAACAGATTTGCTGGAGATATATAGTCAATTTAATTAATAATAAACAGTCTAAGACTTCTAAAATATTATTTCCACTGTAACAATAAGAAGAAAGAATAACTGAATGGACAACTAAGTAAATAATTAAACAAATACATGAAAAATAATAGGCCAAAACTGACCATGTGCTTTTAAGGAGACTATAGCACTGAGTTCACTGAGTTTCCCCTGAAGCCATCCTTTCTCCAGGCTGAACAAAAGCAGGTCCCTCAGCCTATTCTCACAGGGCAACTGCTCCAGCACTGATCATCTTGGTGGCCTTCACTGAGCTTACTCCAGTTTACTGACATCTTTCATGTATGCTGTTGGAAGGGGAAAATGAGGTACAGTATTTTAGATGTGATCTAATGAGTGCCCAGGAAAGGGATGTATCACGTGTCTTCATCTACTGATGGTGCTCTAGCTAATACTGCTTGTTGGCCTTTCCTGCTAGGGCACACTTTGCCATGACTGCAAAGCCAAAGTCTCAGGCAAATAGTTACTTTATGCAACAAGAGATGCAAGATGACTTGGTAAAGGTTATTCCTCAAAAGATCAAATCTGAAGAGATGCTGAGCAACAGAAACTCCCTTCAGGAATGCTAAAGTCTAGAAATGGATGAAAATCAGTCCAGAGAAGAGAGAGACAGAATAATTAATGGCAAGAAACTCAAGCTACTGGTTTAGTTCCCAGAAGCTATACTAGTAGCTGCAGAACAAAGTTCCCTTTTCATCCAGTAAACCAGCATAGCAAGAACTAGCATAGAAAGACATCCATAAGAAAAGACAGTTGGCTACTAATTAATTGGCTAGCAAATGATGGAGTTGCAATGGGGACAGAGAAAATACATTTAAGGCTAGAGATTGCCTACATGAACACAGGTGCAACAAAAAGAGCAGGTGAACTCCAATGAAAGGAGGAAAAGCCACAATCAAGTGAAGTAAACCCCAACACTCACCAAGGCTTGTGTCAGGAGACCTTCCTAAACTATTTCACAAACAGTAGGAGGGTAGCTATGAGCTGTTTAAAGGAAAGGGGGAAGATCTACATCCTCACCCCATAATAACATGCAGAGTTTTGGACAAGGAAGAACACCTCCATTCACTTTTGCTGGGAATTAACACATCAGAATGAAGTTAATCACTGTCAGAAAACTTGCCAGTTGAATGGAGACAGGAAAGGGAGGAGAAACAAAAGGTGAACTGGACAAACTGCTAGTGTTTCCACACAATGGCATTTAGAAGAGCAGCAAACCACTCGGAGATGTCAAATGCTTCTAGTAAGTTCAAATTCTTTAAAGGTTTATATGTTTCTAGTAAATTCTAAATGGCTGAAGTAGGTTAATTTTGCTAAATTAATACTCTGGTGCTTTCTTATGATTGTGTGCTGACAAAACCTGACTCCTAAGTTTCAGGTGCACTACAAAATCTTGGAATAATGGTATTTCTGGTTAAGGAGGGCAGCTGTGTTTGTTGATGCCAGGGAGAGTGAATGTCTGAATTTCTAGCTTTCCCTTGACAGATGGCTGGTAAAGGCTGGGAAGATTTCTGAATTTTCTTTCCACTTTCAACTCGATGGGAACTCTGGGGCAAGCATGTGACCTGGTGCCAGGTGGGTTGGGTAAGGTACCTAGCCACCTCCTCTGCTGCCTGAACAAACAAGTGCAAATCCTGATACTTTCTCCTCTCCCACAGTGTCATAAAATAGCCTAGATGGGGTGATTCTTTCCAAGGAGGAGACAGTCTGTGATGCCTTTCCACCTACTTATGCACTTCTTGCTAAAGACCCTTTCTTCATTGCATAAATTCCTCAGTGGCAGAAGGTGTGGATTTACCAGGGAATGAGGCAGAAGGCAAAAGCTTGCTTCACATATTAGCCCAAACCAGGGCACCCGTCTGCTATGCCACAGGACACTGCGTAACTCTTTAATTTAAGATACAGGCAGATGAAATTAAAGGCTGGAGAGAAGAAGAAAGTTGAGAGAGAAGTTGGGTTGTTGATATCCTGAAGTTCCACAGATGTTCTGTAAAATGCATTTGCTCCAAACCAATAGAAAAATAAGAAATTATCATATTAATTTGGTTAGCCATTCTTGATTTCTACCTTTACTGGGAAACTGTTTTCCTGCAGATTTTTTTTTTTTCAAAATAGGGTTTTGACTAGTTGTGGGCCTATTCACCATTCTCACAGAAAATTTCTAGAGCAAAGAAGGGGAGGAATTGTCTCTTGAAACAGTTGTAAAAGAAGTATGCTATATCCTATGACAGTCACTGGCAGAGCAGATACCTGGACTGTCATGCAGCAATCAGCAATGTAGGAAGCAGCAATGTTGTCAGAAGATGTTTATAGGTTGGTATTCAAACTTATTGCAGTATACATGTCTGATCACAGAAGTTAAGTAAGGAGAACACAATGTATGCACATATGTGCATGGTACCTATGCACATTCAAGGTGTGTAATACATCCCTTAAATGCATATAGCTCTGGTGATTTTCAGTGAGACCAGCTCCCAACGCCCCATTCTTCCAGTATACATGCCAGCTGTGTGACATGCATAGGAAAATGTCTTTTGTAGAACATAAGAAACATGGACTGATTGGTATTTAGGGACTTCATGATTTTATATCTAGAGGAGCCTTGGGCAGATGACAGCTGACAGACAGCTATTCTGAACTTACACCCAATTACTGTAAACTACTGTACTGATTCCAGTAGTTTTAATTCAGAAGCAAAACAGAAGGGGGTTGTTTATTTTTATCTTAAAATAAACTAGAGCTGGGACACTCACCTATTACACAGAATGGTTTCCTTGCAAAGCGCAGTCTTCCTTGCCATCCTCGGTATCGACAACAGCATCCAGCAGACCAAATACGAATAATAAATTCCAAACCAAAGACAACAATCATGACAAATTCCTAGAAAGGGCAAATAAGAAAAATGCGTATTACATATAACCAACACTGAAACATCAGGAAACTTAAGACCACTGTGTGAGTCTAGCAATACACTTTGAGCATCTGAAGATCCCAAGCCAAACTTGGGATCCTGCTCCCCAGGATGGTTACGCATCTACACTCAGAACATAGTCTCCAGGGCTTCCTAGTGAATGGTCCAAGTCTAATGTGAATAAAATTAAATATTTGCTAAGGTTACCTACTAAATATGAAAGACTGAAGAACTGAATCATACACAAAGCATATCAAAGCAAAATACTCAGTGACTTTGAATACTGAGGATCAGACGTCAGGTAATTCAGACCGATAGTGAAGAATATGTTATATATTCACATTCATATAATTAGTTCTTAGTTTGGAGGCTGAATGTTTTGGTAGATATATTCTTATTGTAGCAATATACAAGTGAAGTGATTGAGATGATGTAGAAGCATTTAAGAAATCGATTTGTTCCCAGAAGTAGGTTAAGATACATGCAAGTGTAGTTACAAACAATGGATATGTAATTATTTGTAAGACAGTGAATGAATGTTCACACTAGGCATAACCTTCCCTGGACAACCTGTGAATGAAAGCATTAAAAAAATCTCTCCTTGCTTGTCTGGCTTGCTTATGTTTCATGCTGGAACCTTCTTTAAGACTGTCCATTATAGCAACATCAACCTGTGTTTATGCAATTTTTATTGGAAGAAATTTTTCAGTACAACAGTGAGGTCAACAGAGTTGCAGCAATAGAGCTCGGAACACAATTCAGCTCCATACCTTAAGGAAATCTGAATACAATACATACACACTGGTATGGAATTATAAACTTAGATACTCTTCTGGAATACTATCATAAAGTTTTGAGTTTTGAAATGATAAAATAAGAATTTGTGTGTTCACCAAAAGAAAGAGAAAAGTACTTGAAGGAGTTTCTTAAACAGTTCATCAAGAAGAACAGGATGAAAGTTGTATTTTATTTGGCAGCTGAATGTATTTCCATGTCCCAGAGAAAGCTGTTCCTTGTCAGCCAATTAATTTGTTATTTCTTCACAATGAAGACTAGTGTAGTACTGTTAAGAAAGCACTGCAGATGAATTAAATAGAGGAATATTTGCAAGGGTAGTGTTGATTGACTTTTTCCAAATAAACAGTTTGCATGATTTCAGACTGTGAGATCCAGCAACTCTACAAACCAATAAGGCTGTAAATAAATATCACATATATCAACTTGGGCATTGATTGACCTGAACAAATGGCATTCTTAATATTGTGTCATGTTATGGTGCTTTACTAGCTTATGATTAGTGACAGTACATTGAAACATTGTGAATTTAATTTGCTTTTGCTGTCATAGAACAATTTGAAAACATAGTATTCCTTCCTAAAACATCAGCTTGTGTAACTACAACACATTGGAAGACTTTTTAGAACCTTCTTCATTGTCGTCATTTCCTGTTTTGTAATCCCATACTGAATCCCTAAATCAAAAAAGCAGAATGAGATCTCTCCGATAAAATGCAGCAAAAGAAAATGGCATATTTTTTGTTAGAAAATAAAACATGGAAAAATGAGCGTGATTAAGGTTTTCTTTTTTTTTTTTTCATTCTACTACGAGAAACTTCAACTTAATTCCATGGACAGAGTTATTGTACAACTTCAGAAAGGACTATGTGCAAAACTGAAAAAGCTCTCTATATAGTAACAATTCTTAATAGCTGGCTACCATGCAGTATATTTCCTCGTAGGAAATTCTGTGTAAGCCAAGAATAAAATGGACAAGAAGCCAACTGGAAAAAAGGAAGAATATGTATTTTAGTTATTTAACTACCACTTTTATAGTGCTAGTTAAATCACGAATTGTCAAATCTGGTTTACACATTGTTAGATGTCTCTGAATTTATGGGGGTCAATGGCACACATCCAGGCCATTTGACATCTGATTCTCCTGATGAAGTTTCTTCTTTGGTGCAGGGGTAAGAGCTACAGAAGGAGAGTAGGCCAGCAAAGCATGAAACATTATTTTATTCCAATAAAATATTTTCCTTGTTAAAATCTAGACACATTTCATTGGACTAAAGTTTGTCATTTCCCTGGAAAACATACAGCGTGTACAGATGCATGAGAATCAACTCCTGCTTTTTAAGTGCGCTGAAATTGTCAGAGGTGTCTACAGGAGTTGATTCACACATGCAGGAGTGGGTCCTCTATCATACTCTAGACCCCAGTAGGGCCTCTGATAGAGCACTGGCAAGAGCAGAAAGTACTTAATGATCTGGAAAGACTAGTCTACAGTTTCAATTCAGTTAAATTAGTATCATAAAACTGCTGGTAGAAGCCAAAAAGAGGTAATTTTTTTTTGGTAGCTTACTATTCTGGTTCTTATTAGTGTTATGCAGTTTTGTATTAATCATCTCGACTACCGTTAGCAATTACTATTTGCTTTGTTTGCTCAGTTATACAAAGACGAAAAAGCCTCTGTGTGCTGAAAGCACGTGTTTGAGAGTCATCATACCAGATGCTATACTTGTGTGTCAGAGGCAGCAATCCCATTTGTTTCTCACATACAAATGCATATACATGTACTACAAAGACAAATTTCATGGAGATATATCTATTCTGTGAGAGAAAGGGAGCAGAAGGATGTTTTCTCAAATTCAGTCACAATGTGAAGTCAAATCTCTGTCAAGGTTAATGCAGACCAGGGAATTACATTATTTTTTCCTATTCAACTGCACAGTCAGGAGGTTCTTGGTTTTCTATGGACAAAGACTGAAAGGATGAATCTGAACCAAGATCAGATTTTTTTTTTTTTTTTTTTAATTTTGTTTGGAATGGCTTCTTACAAAATTAAGCATATATCTAAGCTTCTAAATAACTTGGTTTCAGGTCTTTAGCAATCAATGGAAACAAAATCAGAACATAATTGGAAAGGCATGTGATGGAATAAATGATTAGACCTCATATGATTTGTAGGCTTGCTGCAGAAATTATGCACTCCAAGTATCTCTGTCCCACGTATAATATGATGGAACATCATTAATTTTGGATAACTTATGAGATATGAATAACAACTTTTACACTGGTGGAAAATCCTGCACTGTTGACAAATCTGGCTTCCTTCAAAATTCAGCAAAGATGCATTTGAACTGATGAAATTCAGATTTACTGGAAACCTAACCCTTCCCTTCCTAGGTAGAGCGGGGATGCCCCGGCCATCGCCATTTCTCCCTTTTCTGCTATCTTGTCATCCATTTCCAGTCACAGCTGCATCTGGCCTTGCACCACAGTTACCAGAATCTGTAATTTTTTTGGCTATTTAAGCTCACAGTTAACCTCCCACAGTAACTGATATAGCAGATGCATTGGTGATTCGGACAGTAGAAAGTCTTTCTTCCTTCTCAAAGCACAGTTCACCCAGACTGATGAACTTTTCATTCTGAAATGTTTCTGCATACGTAGCTCCAGTTGTCATAGGGAACTATGTATATGCAAGAGAAGCAAGGGTGAAACACATGGGCTTAAAAGAATCATTTGCTTTTAGCATAAGGAACACAGGTGCTAGTGTGTTCCTGAAGTTTTTTACATCTGCATGTGCCTTGGCTGCTCTGCCACTGGAACAATGAGGGCCACACAAATGACAGGAAAATAAAATAAAAGGTCATCCAGAGCAAGGTTTCTTTAACAAAAGGTCCTGGAGGACTCTAATGAACAGGGTTGATAATTAATTAAATCAAGAATACTTTGCACAATCCACCTACAATGAGCACTTTTTTTTTTTCTTTTTTGTCTATCTAATTAGGATACAAGTAATGATTTTTGAAATTTTCTACATTAACATGCTTCTCAGGTAGTTTTTGATGATAAGGATTTCCCTAAGCATAACATTATAACAGCAAAACCCTGTTTTTATCATAGCTTTCTTTTAATTAACATAACTGCTTATTATAATTTAAAATAATTTGCTGCTGCTGAAGTCAGGTGCCTTGGTTGTAGACTGTAATATCTGGGAATTAGAGCCACTTTAGAGATGAGAAAATGACCAAAGTTGAGCACTCCATGCTATTCTTCTAGGATGGTTATTTTGCAATGCGTAAAGAAGCTGAGGTTTGGATGTAAGAAATCCTCCCACTAGACAATGGTTCTGCTGTTATTTTAATTATATTTCTTATGTGGAAATTGTGTTAAGTATTCTAAAGGCTAGTGAAGTAGGACAACAGAGCTGCAGACTGATGTAAGGAGCTGCCTGCTTTGAGCTCACAGAACTGGGTCTACAAGTGACATTGTCAGAAAACTGGGAAATGGACTAGAACAAATCAGATTAATCCCCTGAAATAAGCTTTAATAAGGCCACAGGTGTTTCCCTACTGAAGACAACATCTCTGCAGTGTAGCTGCACTGCAGATGCTCACCTGGTGTAAACCAGCACAGCCTCACTACACTAGCATAACAGCAGGAACAGTAGTAGCAATGTTGTCTGACACAGCTCAGGAAGTGTCCTCTCTTCCCTAAAAACTCATAAACAGGGAAGTCCAGTGTTTCCAAATCAGGGGGAAAAGAGGGAGAATAAACATTTTCTTATCCTTCAATTTATGACTGACTGGTTTAAGAATGTCACCAGCTGCTACAACCTCTTTATGGTGACTATTCAAATAGCAGTGCTTTATTATTCATCATCAAAGAGGATGAGATTGTTTTCTCATTCAATTAAAGAAAGAACATAACACCTCAGCTTCTGCACCCTTCTCTCAAGCAAAAAAAGCCCTCTACTGCTTCAAACTACTGAGCACCAGAGTTGGGGTCTACACTTTAAACAGATACTATCAGGATGTGAGGGGAAGAACAACACTAGTCTGTCTCAGAGAAACCTGAAGAAGGTTTGAGCTTTAAATAGGTATGATGCAGAAGCTGGTGTAGGACTAGGGCCTTCTGTCATAGTGGCCAGTTTCCAGATTAAAACCAGCAGTTATGCATATGTG